CACCCAGTTCTGACCCGCACTTTCCACAAGCCAGTGAGGTTGTGAAGTTCTGAACTACTGCACGGGTATCACGAAACACTGGACAAAGAAACTAAGACAAGATGCTTTCAGCGTTTTTCATGTTACCTCCTGATTACTTTACTATACTTCTGATAACATGTTCTTTTGATATATTCCTTTTTAAAATTTGTATTATTTTTATTAAAATTGTGCATCACCACAAATATGCAGAAATGGGAGTGTCAAATCACGAATTTCAATGAAGTCCTGAAAAAAAATCGGTTTGTTCTCCATTGCCAACAAATGTAGATCTCTCCATTCCAGTCAACATTTTTGGTCCAGTGTAACAAGGTACCAGGACTGGGGCTAGGGAGAGATAAAAGAGTAGCTACCACACATATTACAGGGCAGAAGAGTGCACAAAGTATGTTTGTGACACATCTGCTTCTGCTGTATTATGTGAAATGCTCCAAAGATTAGCCTCTTGATTCAGCTGTTATCAACTGCTTATACACAGAGCCCTGCGCATTCTGCATCCAAATTCAACATGAGAAGGCAGTCCAAGTTCGGCCATGTCAACAATTCAGACTGAGCAATTAGTATAATTCTTGATTCTGCTACCCATGAGAAAAAGCTATGTAGTGCACTGAAGCCCACTTGTGACCACTGAGAATCCACTACCCCAAAGATTTTGAAGTGTTTTTCTTCTTTTTGGAATGGTATTTGCACTTTCTTCTCCTCCATTGCTAAAATATAGGCATACCTTCTAATTTTCTCATACTGCTGAAAACAGCTACAAACTCAAGCCTGCATCCTATGCTTGGCATAATTTGCAGCAAGCATGTTTGCCAGCACCATCGGCTGCCACCACATGAGAACCTGCATGCACGGGCAACACCACTGCGCCACCACGGCATGGGAGGGGTGACGTGCAAAGCAGCAAATCTGCTTGGTTAAGCAGAAAACTTGCAGAAAGCTTCTTTAATAGCTCTGACAGCTTTATGGCTGTATGACGTTATCAAGAGCAGAATCGCTGTATTAAGCAGCAGTGACTGTTGAGTTCTTGCTCTTTAGATGTCAACTGATTGGCCCTGTCTTGTTTTCGGGTGGAGTTCCGTGGCTTGACTTCCTCCAAGGTATGTTGCACATACTGCAAGGCAAGATCAAGCAAAACTCCACTTTGGGTGTATTCGAGAACTGTCTGAACAGGGCGAGTGTTCACCTCCAGTTGAGTCGAGTCCACACAGCATTCTGGCATATCAGCACTTGTGCACATGTTCTGACACAGCAGAAGTGCCATAGCACTGATCAGTGCAAAAGCATGGGTCAGCTTTACCATTTCAGGGACAGTAGCTGAGCAAAATCATCAGCTCTGATGAAAGAAAAAGGGATCAGCTGCTCCATCTTTCCACAAGATCATATGCCTTAAGAAGACCAGAGAACGAATCTCAAGCGTCCACCCTGCAAACAACCCATCTCTCCTCCAAGCAACTTGTGCCGTCATCTCAAGAGCTAAGCGAACATTTTTGCTCAGGATTCCTTTGGAAATCTAACACCTCATCTAGCGTCTCTCTGTGCAACCCGTCTCCCACTCCTCCAGTGGGGTTTCATACATTTAATATTTACGCAGTGATAAAGAAGGTCTATATGGACTGCACGCACATTAGTGAACTGAGCTGTGCTGCAGTTCTTGTGTAAGCTTTTTGGCTACAAGATGCTCACTGATGTTTAGCGCTTGCATCTTGGTGGCCCGATGAGCCTAAATCCTTGGCGATAACCCGAACATTACAGGCACAGAACCTCACATGAGCTCTTTATGGGCTTCCCAAATAATGTGTTTAATTGCAACCAGCATGTTTCTGCAAAGCCAGCTGTCGGGCCCCCCAGGTGCCAGGCAGAGAATGCTCATGCACCTGACTCAAAGCGCAGGGGCCGGAACTGTCCAGGCATCTACTCCCTCGGCAATGCAAAAGCGCTTCAGAGTCTGCGGACAGTGGGAGCTTATCAGCACGGGGCAGTCAGCTGAGAGTGCAGGCCAGTCCCAAGCCAGTTTGGGAGGGAGGGGACTGGATCTTCCAGCTCTGCTAATCTTTGTTTACATAGGACTGCGTTTTTGACAGAAACGCTTGGTACACATGCTTATCTCCCTCAAATGAAATGTAACTGATGCAGGGTGGTCACAGCCCCCGAGAAGCTGGCTAAAAGGAGGTGGATACCTCTGCAAGCATGTGCTCCAGTCTGCTTCAGGCGCGTGTTTACCCTGCCACCAGGCAAGCTGCAATCCTGTAACAGCCTTTCCTGGGAGTAATGTCATTTGGGCTTATGTGCAAAGAGAGAGACATGCACAGGACTGCACGGTCTGTGAGAAACCTGCCCACTAGCCCAAGAAAGGTGTATTCTGCAGTCTTCAGCAACTGGACCAAGGGGAGCTGATGTGCAACATGCCACGAGATAGCCGGGAGGCGCTTGTCCTTGCAGCCAAGAAGCACGCTGTCGCCAGACCGTATGCGGAATAGGCTGCCCTTCCAAGAGCAAACAGAGCGCTTTCCAAAGTAAATGAGCACAGCTGGAGAACCTTGTTCTGAATAATGGATTGCACAAAGCAGCATTAATTCTTTGGAGGAGAGATTCACTGTGTAACTGAATTATCGAGAAGGATCCACTTTAAGAGACTGGTGATGTGTTCAGGCCCTGGTGGAGCTGGCACGGTGCAGCAACTGAGGGTGTGAGGCAGGAGTACCTGGTTCAAATTTCCTTTCAGCAATGAACGGGGCACCAGCCTCAGGCAATCCTCTTTTCTTGTGGTGGTCTTAGTCGTGGCTTGTTCCCCACTGCCACCACGCCAGAAATACTGGATTGCACTGCAGGACTGTTGAGCGAAGGCATGTGAAACACCTGAAGTGTGTTTTATAAACCAGAAGTATCAGGAGAGTGACATTTTTTTCTTAAATACTTTTTAAGAACTAGAAATTCTCTGCATGATACACACTAAAAGCTGATTTAAAAAAAAAATAAAACGCAAGGAGCAGGAGCAGCTTTGGAGTTGTGGTGAAGCAGAGAATCCCACTTCCAATTTGTCAAGTACGTGGATTCTGATGCATCAAAGCAATGCGACGGTGTAGAACTATACTTTTTAATGGAGGCACAAAGTATTTCCGCCACACACCATCGTGGGCTCAAATGAAGCATTTATGATTGTTAAAAAAAAACAAGCAAGCCTTGCTAAACTACTGTATAATCAAAAGAGGATAAACCACAAAATAGGCAGTTAGAAAACTCTGTTAATGCCTGCTTTCAACAAGGCTTTCTTGTTAACAGAAATAGTAAAATATTCAGCAAATCATACAGCTGGAGGCTTTTTTCCACCCACCCAAGGGAAAGTCTGAAACCATGTGAAAACAGACATTATCTAATATGGGCTTTTAAAAATTCAGACAGAGGGCATCTTCCACACACCAAAATGAATGGAAACTAAATATATTCTCCACAGCCCCCTTCCCAACCCCAAAATATGCTATTTAAGCAGCAACTACTACTTTTATTATTTTATTTCACTGACTGTATCTCTACATTGCCAAAAAACAGCCAAAGTGCTCTGTGTGATTCAAAGAAAGAATTATTATTTTCTTTGTGGACCGAAAGCAGAGCAGCTGAGAGCAGGTATGTTGGAAAGAGATAGTTAACTAACAAACAAGGGCACCTCATGCAAGGCCAGAGGGAAAGGCCAGTGCTGATCAGAGCAGACAATTCCTCATGCGCCATTTTCACCATCTAGAAGTGAGCTTCAAAGAAATTGGAGGAAGAATTTGAAGCTTTGAAGAAATCACATCAGACTTTGCAGCTTTAGGAGGAAAGTTCAGAACTTTGGGGCCCAGATATTTTCCTCTTCACTTCTTCCAGTCCATGGAAGAGAAACAGACAGGGAAAGAAAAATACTCCCAGGGAATGCCTGGCTACGAAGGTGTGCTGGCGTGACTGACTGGAACTCTGGGACCATGGGCTGCACTTCCTGGAGATGGGCTCCCGGCAAGGGACGGGTTGCACCATGCAAGGACTGGAAAGAACGTGTTTGGCCACAGCATGAAGAAGTTTATCAGGAGGGCTTTAAACTGAATCCAACAGGTGAGAGGGGACACCTGGGCGTGACAGCAGAAAAAGGCTTATGCACCAGAAAGAGGGAACAGCTCCAACGGTGCCCAATAAAAGTCTTCTAAAGTGCAGGAAGAAAGCTCGACTGCAAAGCACGTGGTTTTCAGTGTCTATATAGTAATGCCCAAAGTATGGGAAACAAACAGCATGAACTTGAACTCTTCATTCAGGAGGGGGAATATGACCTGACAGGTATAACTGAAACTCAGTGAGATGACTCCCATGACTGGAATTCCACGACTGAAGGATATATCCTGTTCGAGAAGAACAGAAGGAACAGAAAAAGAGGGGAACTTTGATTTCCCCCATATTGGTCAGCACACTAATTCTGCCCCTCCAAGAAATTCCGAACATGTGTTGCTGATAACTCCTATAAATTGCCTTCCTTTTAAAAGCACAAACTCCAGGTGGCCTACAATACAATTTAAGAAATAAACTTAAAAACAGAAGGAAATAAAATAATTTAAAGAGACCAGAAGATCTTTAAAAATCCATAAAAAATGAATACTTTAATAAAAATTAAAGAATTATCAACTTTGAACAGGGGAGACAAGAACTCTGGAGTTTGTAGTCATCAAGTTCTGAAGTTTAGGAAAGGCCACTGGGAAAGACTTCTCCCAAGCCCCAACCAATCATAACTCAAGATGTTGATGAAACATGAAGGAGAACAACAGGAGAACAACTGAGAAATAAGTCCTACAAACTAATGTATCAATAAATAAGAACTCTGGAGTAATTCTGAAGCATACCAACAATGAACTGGAATAGTGATATCCTCCCAGCATAGACAAAAAGAAGCATATACTTGCAAAAATCATTCTTTAGGAACAATTTCATATTAAATATCTTACAGTTCTTTGTGTTTCTCCTCTGCCAAGATCTGGTCATTTGGTTTCAGTCCATATCTGAAAATGAAGTGAAAAATAGTTATCTAAATGGGTAATTCAGAGAAACCTATCTTTGCTTTTTGCGCACAAAGATTTGACTTTATAACAAGCCATCTAACAAAGTAATCCTATGAGCTACCACCTCAGGATGGCACAGCCTGCTGTTGCAGGCATTCACCCGCCCAAAGTGCTGCCAGGGCCTTGCTGGAAGGATGGGAGCAACCAGAGAGGCTTTCTCCCCGGCTCACCTTGCCCTTCCAAAATGCACTTTTTCCTAATGGGCCCTTGAGACCACCTCACTCTCCCTGCAAGGTCACAGCCGGAGGGGCTGCTGGAAGCAGCGCATCCATGGCATCAATCCAGTCCACCCCTGGCCAACACACACAGAGACAGCTGCCAGAGAAATCCATGTATTTTCAATCATGCTCCCTTTTTTAATCCATTTCTATTGCACAAAGTAAGTCAAGAACAAGTCGACCAACCCTTGTTTTCAGTCAGCTCCAGCCTCTTAAGTGTTGTGCCCGGGAGCACGGGGGAAGGCGGCCAGTGGGCTGCCAGGGTGCCCCATAGAGGCACGGCCTGCCTCCTCCCCTCCTCGTTCCTGAAATGACCCCAAGCCTATCTTCAGGGTTGCCCTTGTGGCCTCGGAGAGGCGCCCAGTGGTTCTTCCGAGCACAGAGACCCAGGCCAGGGCTACGTGAGGTCAGAGAACTCCCTAATCGTGTGGCCAGGCCACCAGAAAATCCCACGGCACCCTCAGCCCTTATCTAGCAGCTACAGGACTGCACTGGCTGACTGTAATCATCACACTAAGTTCCCTCAGGAAAGGCTGCTCCATATTCAGTGAGGCAGATATGCTTGCTTTTATTGCATTTATAAACACCCGTGTTTTAACCTGTCTCAGCATCTCATAACTTATTTTACACAGTAAGGTGGAATTCAGCCTGTGGCCTTCTGCATACCATTTTCTTCTTGTCCATATATGTAACAAATTTTTGTTTTTTTATTTATGCCTTGACTTTTCAACAGGAAATGGTACTCAAGGAACCGAACAAGTTTAATAGTAAAATAAATAACAACATCCAGCATTTAAAATAAAAACACAACTAAAACCATCGTGAAACGAAAGTATTAAAAGCAAAGTTTAAAACCCAAAGCAATAAAAAGGTAAAAAGAATACCCAAGCCAGCCAAAGAGTTTACATGCTGAAGGGCCGCTTATATAAAAACACCTTTGCCTGCTTGTGGCAGGAGGGCAGGCAGAGGCAACACAGAGCAGCTGACAGGTACGGACTGTTTGCAGCAGAGAATCTGAGAACCAATATTTGACGTTTTCAGCACCGTGGGGGAAGCTCCATGCCACAGAAAGAGAGGAGCTTACAAGACTCCTACAACGAAATGTGTCCAGTGCCAAGAACAAACAGCCAGCTTTGATCCCCATGCAACTCAGTTCCCAGCCCATCCCATTCACACACGGGAATACAATTTTCTTATTCAACACAAGCAAAGGAAACGGATGTGTGTTGGAAAGCAAGATGGATATAAATCCACCTGGTTGCCGAGCTGTCTGGATTTCCAATAGCCTCCTACAATGAATGAAAGCTGCAGCTTGTCCAATTCACTCCACACTCCATTCAACAGATTAGGCTCTGGTTCTCCTTTTCTCGCTGGCCTCCATTTCCGTCCTGCAGCCTGCCAAGAGCTCACAGACTACAGCAAAGAAGGGTTTTATTCACTGTTACTGACTTGTGTGAAAAGTGTGCATGCCACCAGTCTTCTTGAAATGAAACACCTTCTTGAAGAGTCAGAAGAGTCCTACACTGGAGCCTGAGGGATCTCTATTGGCAGAACATCCTGTGAGGGTGAGTCTGCCTGGGTCCCCATGGCTGGGCGATGTACAGAGGCACGTTATCACAGAGCAAGTTTTAACACCAGCACGTTGAACTGGGCCGACTGAGCCCAGAAGCAAACTAGGAACTAATGAAATTCAAATAAAGTAGGCATGATATAGTCAAAACACTTAGCCCTCACCAGCAAGTCAGCTGCCACATTTTGCACCAGCTGTAGTTACGGAATGCTTTTCACTGCATCCTACAGCAGTAGAGTTGGAAGGGGCCACGGAGGCCATCGGGTCCAACCCCCTGCCGTTGCGGGACACCACGTCACACCCTCCCACTCAAGATGGCTGCCCAGTTTCTTTCTGAATGTTGCCAGTGTGAGGGAGGCCATGACCACCCTCGACAACAGGTCCCGCTGTCGTATTGCTCTGACGGAGAGGAAACTTTTCCTGGTATCTACCCTGAATCTGGATTGTCACAACTCGAATTCATTATACCATCAATTCCGCTCTGCTATGAGTGAGATCTTGACCTTCCTCTTTGTCACAGCCTTTGAGGTACTTAAAGACCAACACCACGTCTGTTCTCTGTTGTAGTCTTTAAAACCATGCCTATCCAATACATTAGCAATTAGACCGAATTGCTTCCTTAAAACAAATCTATCAGATTCATTTTTAACATCCCAATGCATATTTTATACATGATTTTTCAAACAACTCCATGTTGTCAATTTAGATGCCCCTCTCAAATCTTGACTGCCTTGCACTAAGGCAGTCGTAGCGAACATTTCCTTTTCCTCAGTTCAACTCACACAGTATTATTAGGAGTTGAAATTCTAAGCTGGACACTGAGCAAACGGCAAGAGAGCAGCTGCAGCCAAATAGAATGGCTCTTCAGTTTCATTTCCAAGCACTTAAGAAACACTTGGAAAAGTAATGATCCTTGACTGAAGTTAGCATTTTGAAGACAAGACGTTAATGGAGGAAATGGTTTAGATACATGGTACCATTAGAGGCAATCTAGAGCGTATTAACCTCCATCTCTTGAAAAATATAACATCTGCATACTGGAAAAAAACAGCTTGATTAATGTCCAGCTCAAAGCTCATTTATGAGCTGGTGCTTTACAGAAAAGCTTACAAAACCTCAACCGGCTTGAATCATAAGCCAGTTTAGATAATTTAGACCAAAGAAACTACAAAGGATAAATAATTGTATCAAAAATGAGAAAATAATCTCCATTAATTTACGACAAACCTGCCTGAACATTCTGAACAGTCCAATCAACTAGACTGGGTGGAAACTGCGCCTAATAATAATGCATCAGTTCCATTTCATTTCAACAGTTACAGAAATTCTGATCATCATGACCTATGTTCGTGGAGGGAAAAGCTGGCAGAGTCACAGTTCTAATGCTGAAGGCTGCCTACAGGATCAGAGGTGGCTTTGGGTGTGTGCAGCTCTTGCTGGGTTACACTGGCAGGAGGGTACAGCCAAACTCACGTCCCGCTTGAGGGTTTTCCACGGGCAGCTGGTTGGCCACTGTACGAACAGAAAGAATGCAGGGCTGGCCGCCCTCAGTTTGTTGCAGCATGGCTCTTCATCTGCTCTTGGTCAGAAGATGGGAGGAATGGTACTGGTGGGAGTAGCTGTACTGTCACTGGGCAAACCCACGTGACCTGAGCATTTATATGCCACTGAAGCGCCGTGGAGCCGGATCACAGGGCTGAGGGCAACCTCTGTAAGCAGTTGCTGGAAAAGAAGTTCATGGGCAATTTTGCAATCGTTGGCGAAGTGGGGGTTGTTGTGGACACTGTCGAAACTGTTAGCACAGTTGCTGCATTTTTCCCCTTTGGATGCTAGTATATTTTCTTCTAGAGGAAGACTAAAATAACCAGCTTGTAACAGTGCAGGAAATGGGAGCTTAGAAAGGAATGCATGTTGCATGTTAGTCAAGCATATATCCCATTTTCTCCCTTGCAGAGCGTAGCCATGCCATCAGCTAATGATGCTGGATGGCAAAACACACACAACAGGACAATATCTCACCATGCAGCGACTGATTCCATAGGTTATGTAGAAGGACCACAACACAGGGTGTGAGGTAAACATTCTTGAACCAAGATGCAAATGCCACTGAACTGATTGGAAACAATTATCATGGTTTCAGTTTTAATACACAGTTAGGAGGAAGATTGCTAAAGAGGTCCAATCAGTCGCATTGACTTCAAAAGAGGAAACGTCTTTACGATGAGGGAACCAGTAACAGGGAAGTTGAAAGAGGGAGTTAAGAGGGTCACATCTCTACAGAATGCTCAGAGATTACTCAGAAGCACAATCACAGAAACTCGGGCAGTATATATACCACAAGTCAGGAATCACGGAATAGTAGAGTTGCAAGGGGCCAAGAAGGCCATTGGGTCTAACCCCTGCTCAATGCAGAACTTCCATTCCAACCATCCCTCCCAGACGGCTGTCCAGCTGCTTCCTCAATGCCGCTAGCGTGGAAGAGCCCACACCCTCCAAGGTCACTCGTTCCATTGTCATATTGCTCTGCGGTCAGAGAGTTCCCCCTGATGTCCACCTGGAATCTGGCTTCCTGTAACTTGAGCCTGTTTCTTTAAATATATCAGAAGAAAGCAACCAGCTAGAGAGGCAGGTGGACCATTGGAGGACACTGACATTAAAGCTGCATTAAGGGAGAATAAAGAGATTGCCGGGAAGCTGAGTGAATGACTTCTTTTCATTTGTCTTCACGGGAGATGATGCAAAACAGATTCTTTTATCTGTACTTATGTACATAGGAAGAGAATCTGAAGAATTAAGGCCGAAAGTGGTGATAAAAGATTAAATCATCAACCTTATTTACAAACCGAAAGGTAATTATCACCGGGACATTTGACAAAGTCCCTCACTAGGCGAGAAGAAATAAGAGGGGCAGCCCTCTTACAGGCCAGTAACTGGCTAAAGAAGATGGGGCAGAGAGGGAGGATAAATGGCCCTTTCGCCCAATGGAGGGATGCACAGAGTGGCTGCTGTATTAAGACCGACGCTTATCGACTGATTCTTAACTGATTTGAAATTAGAAGCACACAGGGCAGTGCCCAAGTTTGACACCAAACTATTCAGGGTGGTTAAAACCAAAAGGAATCTGAGGAACTCCAAAGGAATCTCTCCAAGTT